GCAGCGCACCCCTAAACCCTAAATCCCTAAGCCCTCGAAGACTTTTGCTGCAGGCCGCTGCGGTTGCCGCCTTGGCCCCGGGGAGTCTCACGCAAGAAGTCTCCTAGGGGTCCTCTTAAAGGGGTCTATAGTCTATAAGGGTTGAGGGCCTCTTCAAGGGATCTATAAGAGTGTCTATAAGGGTACTGTAAGGGCTGCTCAAAAAAGGGATCTATAAGGGTTTTGAGGGTGTCTATAAGGGTACTATACGGGTTCCTCAAAAGAGGAACCCCAGAACAGGGTTTACCTAAACCCCAGTAGTGCCCTTTCCTTTCATGGTCGGGCTCCTCTGTTAAAGCCACCCGACACCGGAAGCTGAGTGAAAGGGGGCACCTGTCAACTTTAAGCAAAATCCCAAGGCCTTAAGTCCAAAAAACCCTGAGCCCTAAACCCTAAAAACTGCAAACTCTGAACCCTAAGCCCTAACCCTAAACCCTAAAGCCTAAGCCGCCCTAAGCTCAAAACGATGAGGTGGCGGAGAGACACCGCTCGGCCCTCCTCGTGGAGTCTTGTTTTCGGCCCGCAGCTCGGGAGTGCGAATGGGTAGCTCTCTACATTAGGGCCCCTTCTGGGGGTCCTTTAAGGGATCTATGAGGGCTCATGCCTGAAGAGCCCTGAAGTCTTTGAGCTGCAAGCCCTTGTCAAACTTAATCCCTAACCCCTTTACTGCTTTTCCTTGACTGAACTTTCTTTTTTGATACCACCGGGATCCTTCTGAAGCCTGAACCACGAACCCTAAACTTTGAACCCTACACCCTACGCCAGATGCTCATTCTTTTTCTTTTTCTTTTTCTGGATGCGATAGGAAATCTCATACAAACCCTTATAGGCACCGTTCTCGAACCTGTGTCGGTTTCCTTGTAGGTGCTTCCAGTGAGGTTCGCGCTTCTCAGGGTTTCGGGAGTCAGCGAGCGAGGATGACAGCTGCGAGCGAGGATGACAGCTTACGTCTGAGAGTAGATTTAGATCAGGATTCTAGTTCTAGGGTTTAGAGATTCAAGGTTTAGAGGTTTAGAGGTTCGGGCTTCGGGACGTAGTGTTCAAGTTTCCTTTCGAGGCGTTTGTTCTCGAGTGGACTCACTCAGGTTGCTACTTCGCTCGTTCTCAGACCTTCTTACTCCTGAGCCCGTAAACGTTATTGAACCCTGTACCACTCCTCACTTTCGTTAAAGGCTGTTCTTGGCCTAAACACGCCCTGGCTGCGGGCAAAACAAGGTCCTGGCGCCAAACGGCTCTTGCTCCGGTACCGGCGCCCAGAAAGGTTGAGGGGCTTTAAGAGCCCCCTAGGCCCTAAATCCCCACGCCCTGATAGGCTTAAGGTTTAGGGTGTAGGGTTCAGGGTGACAGGGTTTGGGGATTCTGCGTTCATGATTCAGAGCTTTGAAGGTGTTGGGGGCGTGCCCTTGACAACAAAAACAACATCGCACTTTGCATGGCGAACCCGAAGCCAACAACCGCAAGCCTTTCGGAGAGGTACGCCTTTTATGTAGTGGCCTGGATCCACCATCTAATCTAACTGCCTAGATCTTTAAGCTTTCCCTCGGCTGTGTGTTCAAGCGACAAAGCCACCAGGCACAGACTGGCCACGTGCTCCATGTTTTGAAGCTCGTAGATATCCCGCTTTATCGCGTGTCTGGGAGTTTACGAACGACTCCGGCATGTAGACACCCCTGCAGTAGCATCTTGCCCGTACTATAAGCCCTAGACCCCAAATCCTAAACCTAAGACCTAGAATCCTAAACCCTACAACCCCCAATCCTTTCCTTCCGCGCACAGTGTGGAGCCTCGCCGTCTCTCCGCGACGACTGCTGGTCCGTGGGTCCGGGATGAGGCGCTGAGGCATCGGGCGTTGCTTTGTTTTGCGGTTTTGTGCTAGCTTCTTGTAGGTTCTATTGTTCGCAGTAGGGGCTTTGTAAGGGACCTCGTAGGAATTCCGGGTACGATTTCGGAAAGTTTATGGTCCAGAGTCGAGTCTTCAGGTTCAGAGTTGAGAGGAACCTAAAACTTTGAAGTTTCCCAGGGGCTTTAGAGAAGTTCTATCAGGCTTGCAGGGTGGAGTAGGGTCCTCTACGACGTTCTCGAGTGTTGGTTGCAAGTAGTCTTCCCCGCTATAATGTACATTTTGCGGATTTCCGTATGTTTCGAACCCGTGGTCAGCTGCCAGGTCTGTGGAGGTTAGCTTTCCGGTGTTTGGATATTTCCCCAAGGGTCCAAGTACTCAATTATCATATACTCTCCAAAATCCTGACCTACATAACTACTATCTATCCTAAAACCGAGTACCTAATTATGGGGTCCTTTGGACCCTTGGGGTTTAGGCTCCGGGAGGGCATGGTGTCGGCTCTCGGGGATCTGAGCATGAGGGCCTGGCCTGCTTGGAGGATCATGGGACTTAGTAACTAGGGTTATCAATAAGGTAACTATACTTAAAACTCCAATTAGGGTACTTATAACCTTACTTACTAAGTCCCATGATCCTCGTACGCGCGGCCACGGCATTATATAACCTTGTCTTTTGGAGACTAGGTGTGACCTGGAGCTTTTGGCGCCCGCAGGGTGATAGTAGAGTTCTGGACTCATCGTGGAACGCAGGTTCAGGTTGTTAGAATCTAGGTATATAGGTTTCGGGAGTTGAAGTTTACGGTGCTCAGGATTGAGAATTGCGATTTTGTGGTTTAGACTAAGGGTCTCGGCTTCAGAGGGGATCCAGGGTTCAGCCGTTGATGTGCTATGCAGGTGAAAACTTGAACGGAGGATGGACTATCTGCTTCTTCTTTCTGTGGCGGCACTCATGTTTTGCACATGGCATGCTTAGTGTTTGCTTTGGTTGAGGGCAGGTTTTGGGTTCCTGTTGCCTGGGGCCCGGGGCTGTGGACGTGGGGCTTGAAAGCCGGCTGCAGGCGCCGCGTGGAGCAAATGTTGCCAAACTGCGCGCCTCTGCCAAGCGGCGAGCGTGCATCGACCCAGTAGACTCCTACTCAAGTCGTTTATATGCTTTGATAAGGGACTACGTTGGGAACCCTTACACGAGCAACTTCAGGACGTGGCGTGAACTTAGTCAACACTTCGCCTGGTAACGAACGGGTAAGCCACCAGGCTAGGATGTCGGCCATCCTAGCACGCTTAGCCGTAGCCTAAACCTGAGTTACATCCTAGACCCTAAAGCTCGAACCCCAACCCCTTAACGCTAAATGCTCCTCCTACACCGGGGTAGCACGCTCCGAAAGAGCCCTAATAGATGGCAGTGACATTCTCCTGTCATCCCGACGTTTACTTGTGCTTAAACTTCTAAGAGTTCCTTTGACCAGCCCCACAAAAAGTCCCTTTGACAAGCGTCAGTAGATGTCCGTAGTCTTGCACCTCTGCGCGTGGGACATGAGAGCTATGCTCACCAAAGCGACGATGGCTGGGAAGCCTGCGAACTTTGTGCTGTCTAACATCCGAAACCCTACCTTAACCCTAATTATCCTACCTTTTTAGGGTTCCTTCTTATGGTTTCCTTATATGAGTCCTTAAAGTTCCGTTTAGGTATATCCGAGGGCAAAGCCCTTACGTAAGGGAGATTGTACGGCTTGTCAGGAGATGAGGAGGTTTAAGGCTTAGCAATCGGAGTTTAGAGAGTCGTATAATGAGAAAACAAGCTTTGGTGGAATTACTACTTCAGTCTTCCTCTGAGATCAGCTGCCGTTTGGTCTCTGAGCCGGTTCACAGGCTTCTGCCTGCGGCGCTTGGGAGGGTTCTCTCGATGTTAAGCGCGGATGTGATCTCGGGGCTCTGCACCAGTGGCTGGACGGAAACGTGGGATCTCTTGTGCTGTCTTGCTTGTTTGTAGGACTTGTAGGTTCGGATAGGAGATCTCTTCGTGTGCATCTGGGCATGAACGTCTAACGTATCTTTGTAGAGTAAGTTCGTAAGTCTTCTTTGCAGGTGTCTAAGGGGATTTCTTCTGCTTGCTGTACGTCGAACTGTCTCAAGCTCCCAGATGACATCTGAAACTCCCACACGAACTAATGACTAATCAATCTCCCTACGCGCTCGGGGTGCCGCTTTGCGGTTTTGGGATCTGGGTGGTGTTTCGGCGTTCCTTCTGCGCGCTGACATGCAGTGTCCTGTGGTTTAGCTGTATAGTAAAAAGTCATCTTACCTTCCTGGGTTTCAGAGTCCAGACCACAGGAAAGAGCCCCTATAATAAGCCAATTCGGAGCTGCGATCCATCGTACAGCACTTGGTATCGCAGTGCCCGGAGCATGCAGGCGGGAATGCAAAAGGATGTTAAGTGCGACGAGGTGCAGCTGACAGTGACAGAACATTCCGCATTACACCGCAGTGCAATAGCACCGCCTGAAAATCTTCCCGAAGACTAGCGGCTTGCTTAATGGGCATGACGGAGATGCATCACTGCTTTCGCATCCCGACGCATCCCGAAGATGGATCTTCAAATGAACCACAGCTCATGGCAACGTGTAGTTCTATATTGTCTTGGTAACGATGCCCTGCAGAAACATCCACATCACAACGTCGTGCAGGCATCTCAAACTCTGAACCCTGAACGGGGGCCCGAAAAGCGGCCCTTAATTCCTGTACGGCCATACCGCCATACCCTACACCCCAACCCCGATTCCCCAGATTGCCACCCCCCCAAAGCCCTCAGCACCCAAAGCCCAACAACCCCAAAAGATCCCACTTAAAGCAAACCTTATAGTTCCACCAAACCCTCAAGGCCATAAGACCTCAAACCCCGCTAAAACTCTGAAAAAATCCCTGAAGCCCTAAAGCCCACAAAGCCCAAAGGCCTCTACAAACTCTCGAACTGGGCCTTGAAGTACCATACGTTATATTAATACTTTTTCTTACAGGATCAATTATGAAATACCAGTATAACCATATATATATATATATACATACATATACACACACACCCCTTTTTTCCCTGGCTACGTAAAAGCCCAGCGAAGTTTCAGGTTCTGGATCCTCACAGCACCTCACCAGCGGCCTTTGGCGGCTGCCGGAGCACTCCGAGCCCTTCTCTCAGGGGCTTTGGGGCTTTGGGGGCTTCGCGTTTTCTCGGGCTTCAGGGTTTAGGGCTTGGGGGCTTCGGGTTTAGGGCTTAGGGTTTAGGGGCTTAGGGTTTGGGGTTTAGGGTTCAGGTTAGGGGCTTCGGGTTTAGGGCTTTGGGTTTAGGGCTCATGGCTGTGTCTTCGCACTCTCATTTCGGCCGCATGTACCCCTAAAGCCAGGAAAACCCTAAACCCCTAAACCCCTAAACCCCTGAACCCCTAAACCCCCAAACCCCTAAACCCTAAACCCCTGAACCCCTAAACCCCTAAACCCCTAAATCCCTATCCCTAAACCCCTAAAGCCCTAAACCCTTAAACCCCTAAAGCAGCCTGAAAGCCCGAAATCTAGCCTGCCCCAAACCCTCAATTTAGCCTGAATCACCCAGTTACAACAGACGTGGCATCCAGGCTCTGGGGGCTGCACTCGCCAGCCAGCCGTCGGGGCCTTGCCCTGTGCCTTCTTTTGTCATTACAGTTTAGGGGTTTAGGAGCTTAAGGGATGAGGGGTTTAGGGGCGGGAGTCAGCATGAGCGAGGGTCTTCATTGTTATGTGTGTCAGTTTGCGGAATCTTGTCTTAAGATTGGTGTTCTTCTTCTTCTTAGATGGCGGTGCCGGGGTTAATTGCAATTACCGCTTCTTTTTTGATTGCGGTTCGTCTGTTCAGAGGATTTCAGCTTTTTCCAACAGCTGCTTTCGGCTGCGACGACGCCTCCTTCCTTTGGCGCGACCACCTCCGGAACAGATGTGATGATTATGGAGCATGAGACACCCACCCCACCCCCCAGATTCAAAACCTGCAAGTGATCTACAACGAGAGTCTGAAGTCGTACAGGTGCGACATGGCGGCGAACAAGAAGAGCCATCCTTGCAGCACCAGCTTGATGCGTGAAGCCTCTGTAGCAGGTAATACTGGCTAGCTGCATCGCTTCCCCAACTCGAAACAACTTCTCAGAACTGTTAGAACTAGAACTCCCTAAACCCTAAACCCCATGAACCCTAAACCCTAAACCCTTATATACTTGAATAGCTCGACTCTTCATCGCCACAGAGGGACCTGAGGCACCATGCCATTTTCTCAGTCTGCCACAAGCAGAGGCTGGCATCCTCAAAGCCAGCACTCGCAGCACTCGCAGCCCACCCCTGCCCTGCCTGGGAGCAGTCTGGATATTTCCGACAGGATATCGTGTGAATTTCTTGGGGCTTCAGGTGGTATTTTAGTAGCTGCGTACATATCCTTCAACGAGAGCTCGAAACTTTAAAGCATGTTAAACCTTAAGCCCCAAGCCTCGAGCTCTAAACCCACATCCTTAGGCCTAGCCCCCGAGCCTGTGGGTCTTGCTTTCCATGGTTTTACGTATTGTTGTTCTTATTCTTATGTTTGTTATGTATTGTTTTTGGAGCCTTAAATCCAAAGCCTTTATACCAAAAAACCTTCGACGCTTTTCCGCAAGCAAACTTAGGCCATCGGCAGAGCTGCACCAAAAGGCAGGGCAAATCTTTGTTTTTACAACAGCGGCAACGAGCGTAGGGTGCACCTGCAGGGCCGAGGACGTCAGAGTGTAGGATCTCCTGATATCTTTGCAAGGAGCTGTCGAGCATCCTACACTTTTTTCGGCCGATGTCGTAGGATTTCGGTCAACGGTTGCAGGTCCATGGTTTTGCGGGGACCCAGGGTATGGAATGGGGGGGGGGACTATCTACCCAGGACCTGTGGGACCGAGCTGTAGGGGCTTGGTTTCATTTCAGTATACGAGCTATAAGTTGCTGTTTGCTCGAGGTCGGGGTTTGGCGCGTAGTGTCCTTGGGATGGACGAGCCCAGCGCACAAGAAGAAGAAGACCCCTAAATTCAACCTACTGTGGCTCGGGTTTTTGCTTCTCGCCACCAAATTACCCTCAACCCTAACCTCCAAACCCTAAACTAAACCCTAACCCCGAATCCCACAACCTGGCGCTTGAGGTTCGGGTCTTCGAGTTTGGGCTTGATGATCTGTTTCAACCTCATGACTGCCCCTTATCCGTTTGCTACCCTTACAGAACCTTCGCAGAGCCATTTTGAGTACTTGCGGTGGACCGCCTCTAGTGGTGCATTAAAGGGAACTCCAGAAAGTTGGAACATGGTTTCAGGGTAGGATCCCCTATAATTTACCTTAAAGGGGTTACGATACTGATATTCCAACTCTCTGGCTTCTACTGTAGGAGCATTTTGGAGAGGTTTCGGTTTTCAATGTAGCCCAAGCCCTAAACCCTAAACCCTAAGTCGCTTTTCATTCATCCTAAGCCTTCCTTCTCGTTCAGCCTCAACCTTGAGCCTTAAACCCCGTACATGCCAACTAAAACCATACGCTCGCAGCGCGTTTGGCAATTTAGGAGGGCACCGCCATGAAAGTCAATCCTCCTAGATTCGATTTGGGCGATTTTATGGTTTACTGTTCGCCAGTTTTCGTGAATAGAAGAATTTGTTCCCTTCCGGAATCCGCTACACAAAAACACCTACAGAATTAGGCAGCTGGTTTCGGAGAGGCCCTGACGTGGCTCCTCGAGGTGCATGGCTTTTGCCCGCCGGCAAGAAAGGGGGCTTCTAGGTAAGTCTAGTGTTTGAGGTTCAGGGTTTTTTGGTATGCGAGGTTTACGGTTATGGTGCATTTCTAGGTTTTCCTTGGGGCTTGAGGGTTTAGGGTCTGGGGCTGTTTGATCCTTTTGGCGGGTCTGTAGAGTGTAGGGCTGGTCTAGAGTACTGGGGTCCTGATCAGAGGGTGGGTGGCTGTTGATATGAGGATCCCTGTTTGGGTCCTTATCATATAATAATACGGCGATTTAATACGGTAGGGTACCCCAAAAGGGACCGCAATTTTGACAACCACCCGGGTGAAGTTTTCCGGATTAGAGTCCCGAACCCTCAACGGTCACAGCCGCAAGGGCACTTGACATACCGAGTGTTAGAGTTCGGCCTTTTTTCGCAAATCCAGCATCATAGTCTGGGGCCGGAAACGCTTCGCCTGGAGTCCCAAGCCCCTTAATCGAGGAATGTACCTTAAGTTATCATAGGATCCCTCGTATGATTTAAGGTATATTCCTGCATCAAGGGATATTGGAGTCTCCAAGTTCCGGCTACAGTAGCCTGCAGAGCTCCTTCCGACTCCGAGCATGGTGGTAGCGCAGGTTGTTTCCGTTCTGTTGTGGAGCCAGCAGCAAATTTAAACCCTATGCCCCAAACCCTCTTAACCGTAAATCCCTGAACCCCTAAACCCCTGAAGCCCTGAACCCCTAAACCTTTGAAGCCCTAAACCCCTAACCCGGAATCACCCCTAAAACCCCTACGCCTTGAACCCCTAATCCCTCGATTTAGGGTTCGAGGCTTAGAGGCTTTAGGGTTTCGGAGTCCGAGTCTCCGCAACCTTAAGCTTCAGAACCCCTCTAGACCTCACACCCAAAGTCCTAATTCGATTCCCTAAAACGTAAACCCAAAGCCTTAATTCAATTTTCAGCTTCGATCCGGCAAGTAGTAGTTTAGGGTGTAGGGTCGAGGGTTTAGGGAACCAACACACAACGGCACATCTCCCTAGTATCGTCTTTGGATACACATGGTCGACTGTGCCCCAGATCCGCGTCCTCAAAATTCAGGACGTTCTATGAAAGCCACCTCAAGCGGCCATCAAATTGAAACCCTAAACCCTGCCCTCCCTAAGCTCTAAACCCTATAAGCCCTCAACCCTCAGCCTCGAACCTCAAACCCTAAGCCCGAGCCCCCAGACCCTGAACCCCCACTACTACTACTACTACTACTACTACTACTACTACTACTACTACCACTACTACTACTACTACTACTACATCCCCCCACCCTTAATATTGTAAAATAAGGGGGGTACCCCCCCCATTTTACAATATATATTACAATATTGCGTTTGCTGACATGAGTAGTTGGGGGGGGGGGTGCTGCTGACATGCGGCAGTTGGCAGGGGGGGGGGTCGGGGGAGCTTTCAGAACAGTCGGGGGAGGGAGAGACAGAGAGAGCGAAAGAGAGGGAGCGACTGTCAGTCATGTTGGCTTCTGTCAGAGACGCCCGGCCTTCGCAGGCATTTCGCCTAAGCCCCTGCCCTGCCAAAGTCCGCCGAGGAAACAGTTACATAAAGCCAGATTGGGAACTCATCTTTGCGTTCAACTGTCGAGGGCCCCTGGAACACAAGACACTCGCTAAAGTGTGCTCCAACTCATCAGTGCCATGGCCCCAATTCCGGCTCATGTCCCGGAGGGCTGTCCGTCGATATGCGCAACTTGGAGCATTGGAGGGATGCTCTGTCGCAGGATCCAGGTTATTCATGTTGTGTCGCACAGTTCTACTTCCGAGGGCGTGGGGATGTGTGCAGAAACGATGCCGCCAGCCCAGTGGGATGATCACCGTGGTGTTTGGAGTTCCTGGGACTGGAAGTCTTGTTTTTTTTGTTCTCTCGGCTCGCAATCGCTGGATGCGGTTTTTTTCTCCATGTTGGAACCGAGTCTCCCGCTGCCATATGGGCCGTGGCACCAAGCGACTGTCACATCACTACTGCTTCTGGAATGTGAGCCTGGGATCGCAGGTTGGTTCTGCAGACACGAGAGCGGCATTCATTCTGAAGACATTCATTTCAGGCCGGAGTCGCGGTGGTCATGGAGCAGCAGGATCTCCAGGGACTGCCCTCGCTTGGATGGAGCCTCCGGGATCGCTTGGAGAGTCAGTGTCAGGGAGCGGGGAGACAGGGACGGAGAGAGAGAGAGAGAGAGAGAGAGCACAGCCCTGGCGAAAGAAAGAGAGAGAGAGAGAGAGAGAGAGAGAGAGAGAGAGAGAGAGAGAGAGAGAGAGAGAGAGAGAGAGAGAGAGAGAGAGAGGGAGAGAGAGAGGGAGAGGGAGGGAAGCGTTCTCGATTCACGGTGCAGGGTTCCGGGCTCCTCTCCCAGGTATCCAAGCACGCGACCGACAGGATGGCCGTTTCTGGGCAGGAGCCCGGGGCCTGCGGGGTTTCCGGCCCCTCTTTTCCCTTTGCCGGCAGGACGAGCAACCTCGCTGAAAAAGCAATGGTGTTGGTTGGGTTGGATGGGACTGTTTCGGAATCACGGCAGGGTTTCACGGAACAGGGCTCAAGGCTTCTGTCACAGGAAACCTTGCCGACCGATGTGGTGGCAGAGAAGTTTGCGCAGAAGCTCGCGGCCGTGGCTTGCAGTATTCTGCGGTTGAAGCAGCGTCAGTTAGCACAAAACCGGGTTCCCTGACCCTTTTGGGCAGAACAGCGGACCTCGCTTGGGTAGCTATTTTGAGGGATTGGTTGTCGGGACGCAGGGTTCCTTCTCCCAGGAAGCACAGCCGGCGACAGACATGATGGCCGAGATGTCTGTGAAGGAGGCCGAGGCCTGCGGTTCAAGAATTCAGGGAAGGGGAACTCTCAGGGTTGCGTGTAGCTCGGGTCGTTGCTGAGGGAGTGATGCTGCTTTCAGTGCTGGGTTGTCGGAACGCAGGGTTCCCTCTCCCAGGAAGCACAGCCGGCGACCGACAAGATGGCCGAGATGTCTGCGAAGGAGGCTCAGGCCTGTGGTTCAAGGGTTTTGCGAGAAGCTTCGAAGATGTCCGAAGCAAACCCGGGCTCCCGGCCCGGGAGAGGGGGTTTGCTTTGGCGTGGTTAGGGACTCTTGTGGAATGCACGGCAGAATTCCGGAAAGGGGAACTCTCAGGGCTGCGTGTAGGCTGGGGTCGTTGCTGAGTGAGTGATGCTGCTTTCAGTGCTGGGTTATCGGAACGCAGGGTTCCCTCTCCACACCAGCCACCGACATGATGGCCGAGATTTCTTTGAAGGAGGCTCAGGCTTGCGGTTCAGGGATCGTAAAGCGCAGAGCTCGCGGTACCATTTCCCCGCCCTCTCAGCCCAGTCACTCCAAGAGTTTTTGGGGGGGCTCTTCGCACAACCCAACACTGGGCCCGGTTTGCATGGGCAAATGAGGGTCGTTGGAGAAAGGAGTTTTCGCGGAGCAGGGTTCAGGGCCCGTCTCGGCAGGCGGCGCAGTCAGCGACCGACACGGGGAAGCGACAGCACTCACCCGACAGGGAGCCGTGCCGGCCTCCTCGGCGATGTCGCATGTCTGCACCGGAACCAGACGACGCCGAAGCCAAGCGTGAATACTGCGAAGACCTGGTGCAGCAGTGGCTGTCTGCTTACCCTCCGGAGCAGGCCTGTGCTCTTGCCTAGCGTGACAAGGGTGTTGTCGGGGCATGTCGGGGCTTGCGGTTCTGTGGCCAGTTTGGCCGGCAGCCAGCTGTGCTAGGGGTTTTCCGTTCAGTGTGCAGTCCATCCAATGTCGGAGACAGGTGGTCCTGTGGCAGAAGTTGTCTTGGGCTGGCTGTCTGCACAAGCTGGTGCAGATGGCGCGGGCTCGCTTTGGTCCGTGCTGGCCCGACGCGGTGCTCATCACACTGGCCACCGCGGAGCAGAAGCTGAGGTACTTGGACTTGTGCCCTGGAGTTCGACTTGTGGTGGCCGTGCTCAACACGGCCTCCCATTGGGCTTGCGTGATGTTCTGCAGAGGTCAGACAAAGGCCGCCTTGTATGATGGCTGTGGGCTGCCTGAGCTTGTGACCCAGGCCAACACGTTCTGCAAGCAGGTCGAAAGGGTGCATGGGCAGACCTACGAGGTCCACGTGCCCCCAGTTGACAAGCAGTTGGACGACTGGAGCTGCGGTCATCGGCTTTTGCTGGCATCGGATTGTGTTTTCTCCTCAGTTGCGGCACAGGCGCAGTGGCCAGTTACTCTGCCAACAGATGCCTTCGGTGAGGCGCGGTTGCGTGAACTCTGCAGCGGGCAGCAGCATCAATGGCAAGAGGCACCGTGCCAAGCGGGGCAGGCTTCTCACCCGGAGGATGCGGTACTTGCTTCACATGAGCGCGCTGTGCAGACACCGCCACGTCCTCCGCGAATTGCCTCTGGGAGCGCGGAAGAGCTGACGCCGCCTGCTCCGCGATCTGCTTCTCGCAGGGCCCCGAAACTTGAGTCCGATGCTGAGCAGTCTGACACCGCGGACATGGTCCTGGACCCCGTGCCGCAGCTGGATGCAGCGCCAAGCGACACTGCTCAGCCCGGCTCCAAAGGCCGGAAGCGCACCAAGAAATCGGTGGAGCAACTTCGGATCTCAGCCCTCAGCAAGAAGGCCGAGGGGCTCGGCGGGGACTTCAACACAGTCTTCCGGAGAGAACACCGTAGACAGTGCTGTCCGATAAAAGGTCACTGGACGAAGTTCCTGTCGGCCTGGGACGCGGGGAAGATTCTGCGCTGCCCTGCATGCATACGCTTGCGAGATTCCCTGAATGCGAAGATTGCCAGCGATCAGGATGGAGTCGGTGCGGCGACGCAGCCTGGGAGTCGCCGTCAGTCCTGAGGCGAGCCCGGCATTGGCCCTGGCCCCCGCGCAAGAGCCATCCGAGCCATCGGTGCCTGTCGCAGTGCCAGCGGAGCCTTTGCAATTCCTGCCGGCGCCGAAGGGTAAACCAAGAGCGGGTGAGCACAGACCGAAGTTGCTGGATTGGATCCGT